AATGACACACCATGCCATATACACTACCTTACAAGGCTTAACTAAGATACAAAATGTGCATTGCGCAATGAGCTTGCCCTCTGCGGCAGAAATTTCACCTTTTAAGGCTTAATTGTTTAAAAACAAAAACGAAAAAAAGGACAGTAAGAACCAAGGGTCCAATTAACCATTCATTCATATAAAATAGATACTCAAATATTTGCCCAGTTGTTTTGCTTATGTTGAAGAAAATGTATGACCTAATTATGAGTGCTTTAATTATTGTTATTGTGCAGTGCTATTCCCCCTAAACACTATTTATAGAGTACCATGGATAAGGGAAGGGAAAATAGCTGGATTTGCTTCTAACTATAGCACTATTCTATCTGACAATAAGAAGTGGGGGGATATTTTTGAAAAGAACATGGGATGTTGAGAATGCTGAACACCAATTCCTACTTCACATAACTCATTTCAAAAGGTAAAATAGTGATAGGTTTTTAACAACAACAGAAGCAAAAGAGGCAAATATAATTGGCCCTCAAACCAAAGGGATGACAGGTGTAATATTGGCTGCTGAAAGCTTTATAAAAAATATGTCACTGGAGACTAAAGGGTGCACCACTAAAACTTTAGTTAATATTATGCAACACTTAGTATAAAAACACAGAAAACCTTAATAAAAACTGTTTTTTAAAAAAATCATCTCAAAATGGCTGCTTGCGTGTCGAGGTCCCCAAGACACCCCCCAAAGAAAAACACAAGTGACACTTAATTTTTGCTTAAGGTTTTTGGCATAATTTTGGCCACAACATTATTCAAATTACAGCAATGTGAGTGGTTGCTTAGGCATTGGTAGCACTAACTGACCCCGCACGGGGACAGCTCAGACATTCGCACCCCCTGCGAAGTCAGCAAGGGTAAGTCACCTGGGGAGAGAGACGGGACTGGGAACCATGCCTCACCTCTCCCCAAATGCTCCCAGGGGCTCTTGCGCGGCCCTAGCCCCTTGCCAGGGGGTTTCAGACAAAAGCATGGGGAGCCCCTGGGTTCCTTTAATGGAAAACCCTTGCAGCAGCAGCAACATTTTGGAGGGGCAGGCACAGCCAAATCCATACCCCTCCACCAACCAATTCCCAGACCAATGCCTAACCGCAACCTTACAAGTTGTGACAATTTGCTACGCAGTAGGCAAAAACCAAGTGGCACACACTAATCAGCCAAATGGACAAAATTCCTACCGGGCCTCTGCCCCAAAGCAGATGACCCCATGACAGGCATAGCAAGGTCAAGCAAAAAGCCTAAAATTAGGGAAGCGAGGGCAGGTGATCCGAAGCACGCAGCTAAAAGAGGAAGTTCGTTGCTGCGTGCATTGTATTTAACAAATAGGGCTGTCAATCAATAAATGGCAACATATAAATCTCCCCAGTAACAGCCCGCCCCTGCTTAAAGGGTGGCCAAACTCTTTTGCCCAGCAACAGTGAGGTGTCTTGTCATCCCCAACCGCAACCCGTGCTCTCCATGAGGGAGAACACGCTTTCCCAAGGTGTTCCCCAAACGTAGCTTCCTACACGCATTGAGTGCCTGCTCTCTTTCTCTCTCCCTTTCTATTCCCCCCCCCCTTCTCTCATAGAAGGTACTATGATTTGCAGCTCATGCTTTATTCACTCTGCCTCTTAATGTAGTTACAAGCATCTACTTGCACAAAATCTTCTCTGAAGCTACGCTGGCACTTCATTGCTGCAAGTGTCATTTATCGTATCTTGAAGCAAGCCCTTTTCAGACATTAACACTATGTTAAACGAGGGTGGAAGGAGCAGTATGACTCCGGCAGGTTTCCCCACTGACCTCAGCACGTTAAGAATGTAGGAAGAGTCTTGCGAGATCAGACCAAAGGCCTATCTTGCCTAAGGATTAGGAAGTTTTTCTCAACTGGCAGCGGCTAGATTTTTATCTGCTACATCCCTCACAAGTCAGGTTTGACAGGTGGGTGTAATTACCCATCTGCCAGTCATCTGAGCTACCAATGATCACAATGGGGATAGTTTTTACAGTATTTGAAATGAATGACTGTTGCAGTTTGCTATACAGAGTACAAACAGTTCATACTGCCCCCTAGACAGTCTGTTTAATTACTGTTACAAGGAAAGGAAAGCTGGAGGTGGATGATCCCCTGGACCTAGGTGTATTGCATAACAAAATGTGCAGGCAGTAAGCTTGTTGTGTTAGCCTGAGTCATACCAACTAAGTGTCATGCCAGAGGGCATAAGGAAAAGTTGCAAAGATGTATCCACCCACCAATCTTATTTCAGCAAAGTGCTCTCTCCCCACTGAATAGGTATTTCTTGGGAAATGCAGAAAGGGCACTTTGTTTAATTAAGGCAGGATATGTTTGCCTTCCAACTCCCATACATTCACAAGGGATGATTAATGGCTGAATTATAGGGATTGCTTGCATTAGATACAAAGCTGTGTTCAATGGGATCAATTTCAACCTTGTGGTTCATACTTGCTTGGATCAGCGCTGGCCTGCACCATAGGGGCTTTCCCCAGATTTATGACAACGGCACTCTCGTTGCTCAGAGCAAAGCCAAATTATTCACATGGTCCTGTGGCATACACAGGGATTCACCCAAACCAAGCTTAACAGTAATTTCACCTCCAGTGGCGTAGCGTGGGTTGTCAGCACCCGGGGCAAGGCAAGTAATTTGCGCCCCCTAACCTGTGGATTTGCACCCCCTAACCCGTGGATTTGCGCCCCCTAACCCGTGGATTTGCCCTAACCCCAGATGTTGCGCCCGGTGCGGCCGGCCCCCCTGCACCCCCCACGCTACGCCACTGTTCACCTCTCCTGTGCCTTTAAGGAATTTATTTTCTGCTAAACAGCCTTCTGTCTCCAATGGGAGGAAGAAACAAAACACATAATCCAATATGTGTCCTAAAGGCAGGACACATGAAGCAAATTCTCTCATCTTTCTGTCCATTTGATTGGATGCTGACACCCTTGACCATCCACACCCAGCCAAAAAAGAGAAAGTTCTGGTATCTGGCTTTGTGTTCCTTTGTCTGACGATTACTGAACCCCAATGCTAATTAAACCTGCGTGTGCACGGCAATTGGAGTTTGTTTCCTTCCACTTTAAAATACCCAGGGCACGATTCACCTAACGAGTACCGTCAGTGCAACACTTGAGCAACACTTGTCCCCTCTTTTCTCCCAGTGCCCCACAAAATTGGCTTGGGGGTGTCAGAATAACCCCCAAAGCTGCACATGGGTGGGGGGGCAGTGAGATCATTCTATCAGGCACGCTGCAATTCTTATGACGACGGGACATCCCCCAGAGTGTGACGTTGAATTCCACCTCATAAATTTGAATTCCCAGGTGTTCAGACTATGGCATGTGGCAATGGCGGTTCTACTAGGTAAATTGCACAAAAGCACCTTGGCAGCCCTACCTCACGAGGGAGGCAGAAGCTAAATAGTCTATTCATCACAAAAGGACACAGTTTCTTCCTGGAAAATAGAAATCTGGCAAATGGGTGCGGGAAAACAGTCGTTTTGTCATCCTGCTAACTCAGGGAAACGTGACGCTGAGTGGACATGGATTGTCAATTACCTTCTATGACATGTACACTGGTCAAGGAAGCTAGCTTCACCCTGAACTGCAATGCTGTCTAAAGAATATGTAAAACAAATACCTTCCATTTGAAAATTTAATAAAGATATATTATCATTACTTATTTTTCAATTATGTGCTGTTTGCAACACACATTAGCTTCAAAATCCACACTCTAAGTAATAATGCATTAGAATGGATTCCAAATACAAATCCAGCTATTTCCTAATAAAACACTTAACAGAATTAAACTGTCCCTTGACAATGTGTTTTCCAATAAAGCACAACTAAAAAGAGAGATAAAAGCAGAAATCTGTTATATCAGTGTTACATCCTGAAATCATTTTTTAAGCCTTATTTATTTTTTAAGGAAAAGTACCAATGCTTAAATAATAGGAAACACAGTAAAATCACCAAATAGAAAAAGTGTGTGTGTGTGATATTTTGCTGACACACACAGTATTGCCAAACTGTTTCCAACTAAATTTAAAAGAAGACAATTCAGATCTAAGCAACAGGGCAGTAACATAACAAAGAGAGTGTCAAATATACTCCTTTCCTTGACTTAAATATGACTGTTTGTAGTAGAAGAAAAACACTCAGCTGGCGAAAACTCCAAATATGCATGACAGGTTTAATTGTGTATGATTAATATAGCAATCTCAATGCCACCAGTTTCTCCTTCTCACTTCCAGTCCACATCTCACATCATAGAATATGTCAGCAGAACTGAAAGCCAGCAGAACAGAGTGACACATTTGGACATTCAAACATGCTGGCTGCATTTTACATGGTAACACTTTGCGCCGAGAGATTACTTGTTGATTTTTTTTGTTTATATGGCAGCTGAAAGAAAGCTCAACTTCCAACAAAAGTTAAAAGTTTTATCTATTGTTTTAGACAACAGTAGATAGATCTTGCAGGCATTAAGAGCTCCGTGTATAAATGGAACTCTTGCACAGAAGAGCACCTGGGACTCAGCTACACAGCTGAAAATAGAACGTTTTAAATGTGTTGTAAAGTGCAATATGTGACGCTAGATGGCGAGATTGAGCTATGCAAAATTCAATGACTTCTTCAAAACATTTTAAGAAAGAGCATTTTCACAGTGTTCTTTATATGTGTGTAAATTCCACCCCAGATCAAGCTATTTGATGGGGAGAGAGGAAAAGTTTTGACTGACCATTCTGTGCTCATATCATGAAAATATGAGAAGTACTCTAGTGGTCTGTACCATGCAGAATTGAGTTCTATATAATTTCTTATACAGTAATGCAAGCAACATGTCTGAAAGGCTTTAAACAATGTTTCCTGACAGAACATAGACAACAAACGAAACACAGCCATTCAACAAAACAGTTCACTTTCAATATAGTTATAACTTAAAAGCTCATTAAAAACTTACCAAAATTAAAGCAGTAAAAGCACGATCCAGTTTCTTGGAAACCTGAAAGAGTAAATAATAGATATATTTTAAAAATATGCTTTAAAAGTATGTGTAGCTACAGTATATCTAAGAAATAGATACAGATATATAAATAACTAGATAAACAACCTCAGAATACTCTTTACCTTAAATAATGCAATAACAGATTCCCTGGTACCAGGAAACATGGCAAACCTAAAGCCACCAGCCCCCAGCAATGCGATCCCAGTGGGGTGCCATCATGGCTGCCCCCCAGCCCCCGCAGGTGGCACACCATGCCCTCAGGATGTGCGCCATCCCCCTGTGGGCGGCGCCCCTGACCCGGGACCTGTGCCAGCCCCGCCCCTGCCTGCTCTCCATTCCCTGGTGCTGGGGCATGAAGCTCTGCCACTGCAGAAAAGGCTTGTTCCACATGTTTCTACCCCTATACCTAAGTAAGTGCATTGGAAGAGGAGGTGGTGACAGAGCAGGGAGAGAGTGGCTGGCTGGCTAGCTGTTGTGGTAGAGATGGATCCCAATTTAAGAGTTCGTGTTTAGAGAGAAAATGCATGTTTTACAATACATATCTCAACTTCACCTATCTATCATGTGCATTTAAATGTGATATTCCTGTTTTGTTTTTATAAATTGCAGATCAGTTTTGGAAATTGGACTCATTGACCCCCAATTTCTCCTCTTTTATTTATTGTACTACCACTACTAGTAGTAGTAGTAGTTGTTGTTGTTGTTGTTTAACTTGCCTTTCTTTCAAGAAGCCCAAGCTGGGTAGACTTCAGACTTGTTGGTTCTACTTTTATTTATTTACCAGAACCCCAAAATTTACCACCAGATTCATTCATTCTCTCTCTCTCTCTCTCTCTCTCTCTCTCTCTCTCTCACACACACACACAACACACACACAACACACACACACACACAAAGTTAGATGTAAAGAAGGGTGTCTTTGAGCACATTGTGAGCCTAGGGATTAGTTTTTGATACCAGAAATGAATGGAGTTCTTTCAGTGTGGGGAAGGTGAAGCTTAGAATTAGTGGTCAGCCCAAGGTCATCCAGTAAACTTGGTATGGATTTAATCCAGATCTTCCTGGTCTATACCCCTGAGCTCCTTTTGAAGAAATGGTGGGATATACAAGTAAGAAATAAATATTCTAGCCGCTACCTCACACTGCCTTAAACCTTGACATTTAAGTATATTTCAGTTTTTGCATAATGTATATATCACAAACATTTAAAAAATGATATAAAATATGGAATTTTTTCAAAAAGCAAAGTTGAGAGCAATGAAACTGCATGATCTCATAGAGCTTGTTAAAATGGTCAATAAACCTGTATCTATGTTCCAAAAATATGGGAGCCAAGGCTTTCATTACAAGTATTTTCCTATTATACTACCAAGGTAATCATGCTTAATATCCTAGACAAACTACTACCTACCTATGCTGCTATTTGATTCAGGCACCATAAAATCAAATAGTTTCTCTTTCCAGTATATTATCGCTTAAAAGCGTTTACTTCAACAGAGAGATATGATTAAACCAGCGGCATTTCAGACTACTAAAGGGGGATTGTGTGTGAAAGATCTATTACTCAGCAAAGAAAACTATTTGCCATTTTCACAATTTAGTTCCATTGGGACGAATGGCAACACAGACACCAGTCTGTGGTGAAAATAAAGTTTTCAGTTGTCGGTAAGGAAGAAGAAACATATTAAGACACTAGATAATATATTTTGTGAATATTGAGCCCTTCCAGCCTGGGATAAACACATGCCTCATTTTCTGCCTCCACGTCAATACCAAGATCTAACTCATTGATGCATGGGAAGAGTGGTGAACATAAGTTAGAAATGCAAAATTAGTGGAAGTGGATTAAACAAAAGCTGTGGCCAGCCTTTTATTTCCTGCATAGCAATGTTGCTGTAGGTGCAGGATTCTGACATTCTCAGTGTTCACTGAACAATGTGACCCCTTGTTCTGCAAGAGCTCTGCATACAAACCAGAGCACAATTGCATTTTTGAAAACTGGAGCCATTATCGCAGCAATTTGAACTGGGATGGAGAGGATAGCTTTCGAACCCATTCAGTTCTGAACTTCAATGGCATTGCTGGGGAAGTATTGGGATTCCCAGCATTTCCCCAATTGCACAAAACATTACGAAATGAGGGACGCTTATACTCCAATTATGCCACAGCCCTCAAACTTTTAAATATCAATGTAAGGCTTTCGTTTTCATGGAAGTAGTTATCTGGCAGGACATGGAAAGAGGATGTCGTGCACTATATTTCATAGGTCTGCTCCCTTCCGATTAATTTAGAATGCAACACAGAATAGTCAAGATGTTCTGACCCCAAATAAATCATTTTTAAAACCTCCACAATTCTGTTCCCTTTACCTTACTTGAATGATGAGGTAGAGATGCATATCCGTACCTAAGACCAGAGGTTTAACCATAGTGCTTCTTCCCATGTTTGGATCATTCAAGGTACGTAAGGGAAGGGAAACGAGTGCCAAAGATTTTTGTGTGGTGCACAATTGATGTTGAGCTGAATTTTGGGCCTGGATTGTGTTGCTCAATGTCTGGGGGCATTGCAATCTGATCCCTCCTATCATTCCCAATATGAACTAGAGTGTGTGGTGGAGGCTGTGCAAATCACTACAGGAAGGACCAGGGCAGGGCTTTTTTCACCCAGAACTGAGTTTCGGCATCTCTTTGGTATGTCCTGGCACCTCTGTAGCATAGTGGCACATTGGCATGGCGTTTGAGGCTGCACACCGGAGGCTGTTGGCACGGCGATTGGAGCAGCACAGCGGTTTTGGGTCGAGTGGGCGGGGAAGACTTGCAGCACCTCTTTTTCTAGAAAAAAGCCCTGGACTAGGGATTATTTTTGTCTTCCAACTCTTCACTCTAGGTTTACCGTTTAACTTACATATTGTATGTGATACTCACTATTAATAGAGTTAGACTTAGCAATCTGTTTGGTATAGGTTAGAATTTGCTTAGAATATTTCTAAGGTAGGGATGAACAAATCTACTGATTTCAGTTTCCTTCAGTTTCTCACCCGTCCAATCTTAAATTTAGTTCCCCACATTTTTACACTGGTTTGTGATTTTTTAAAAAAGTGCTCATGAAAACTTGCCAGCATTTTACCCAATATTTGCATTTTTGCATTTAACTTTTCCTAACTTAATGCATATGTTATTCTAAATGACATGCACATTTTTAATGCACACTTTCCCCTAATGTGCACATTTTTCTTTACTTTACTTGGGTATAGATCTGCATCACAAAATCTGAAGAAGTGTGAATTTCAGAAAATAGATTAGAAGTGTTGGAAAGTTTTAAAATGTGTGAATTGAGTAGTTTCACACTTCAATCTGAACCAATTCAAACTTATCCCCCTGTTCTATTTTAAGGTAATTAGAACAATCATAGGATAAAATAATCAATGTGATCTGCCTGACTACTGAGGAAAGAAATCGCCCAATGTTTCACTCTTTTTGGAAATTTAAAATTGTACTAAAGTAATCCCTTCATTTTGAAATTAAAGGAAGCATGGACATTCAATGCCTCTTACTTGCAAAGTCATTGCAACAGTGCAGCAAACAACAGATTCTGATTTGAATCAGTGCAGATAAATGCCATTGTTTTCCATTTTCCATCTTCAAAATTGCTACAGAGGCGGAATCCTGGATGTAGTTATAAATGTTATATATGTGGGCAGAACTGGGCAGAACTGCGGCAAAAATGTTTCTCTAAGCTCAATTGAAGGAACAAAATCTCATCAAAGTGGCTAAAATATACACTCACTCTTTCCATTTGAATTGCCTTTCGTAATACAGGGAGCACAAAATGCAATGCCAAATGCATTAGGTTTATTTTCTTTATGAGACTATAAAACAGCACCACATCTTCAGTCATAAGAAAAAAAGGTGGGCAATAAAATGCATCCTTAGGTGTAATTTATTTTTTTCTAAAATCAAGGAAGCCGCATACAGCCAAGGCTATTAGCTATAATTCCATTTAGAAAGTGAATTTACACGACAACACAATTAATAGCGTTAATTACAAACTTTAAGAAAAATCCTGAGCAGTGGCATAGCATGGGTTGCCAGTGCCCAGCGCTGCACAGAGGGTGGGTGGGAGGGACGTGTAGTATGCATGCACATTCAACTGCCGAATGGTTTCAGCGTCACCCAGGAGATGGCAGCCACAGAGCTAAGGGTGGGGCTAAGCTAAAGTTGTTCAGTTGTCTAGAGAAGTCACTCCCTGGTTTGTATGGAGAAGCTGTTTTCAATGGAGCCCACCGATGGAAGTGTGCAGCTGTATTGAGGCAGCAACTGGTGTTGAAATTTTATGCCTCTAACAATTTTTTGCCCAGAGCAACAGCCCCTGTGTCTGCCCCATGCTATGCCACTGATCTGAGCAACTCTGCTCAGAAATGCCCTTCTAGATATGAATGTACAAAGATTCAAAAAATTGTGTTTTTTAAAGCTTCAGATTGTGTGTATGTGTTGCGCAGAGGACAGCTAACTTGAGATATAAATATGCCTCAAAAATAGGGAACTTATTTCAGGCTGAATACAAACTAAAAGGATGTGATATTACATCTAGGAGGGTATTTGCCATGTTTTCAATTTATTTTTAACCTTCACTCTCCATCTCTCTCCTTTTTTTTGCTTTCTCTCTTTGCATCAACACTGTCATCTGGTTCAATTTACTGAGCCATTTCTCCAGGTTTCACTGATGCAATTTGATACCAACTTAGTTGCCACCTTTTGTCTGCCAGTGCTTTTCTGTGGGCATAATTTCGAGAGCTGAAGCTTTCCATTACTGTTTCACCATACTGGGAAGCACTTCTGCCGTTCAATTATTGTCAAGCGCCTGTTAAAGGCAAATCTTTCTACCTCAACAAGATGATCCAGAAGGCATCTCATAACTGTCCTCCATTAAAAACAAAGAAGGACTTGCATTTTTAGCAACACCGCTAAAAAAGAAAATGCCCCAGCAAACATAATCCT